AACCACACTTGCTGTCTTGCTTCCTCTTCCCTTTAATACACAAGCCTTTGGACTTAGGAGAAGGCTCCATCTTTTCCTCCCACGTTCTCCCCTTGGTTTCCAGACTTGGACCACAACTTGGGCAGAACAAAGGCTAGGCATAGATAGCTGCATCTTCAGCCACCCTATCTAGAGCTATAGGGTAGGTACTCTTTGAAACAAGTCAACTATCCTCATTCAATGGTGCTCCAGCTTTTCCAGCACCTTGCTAGACATCCTAGAACCCATAAAACTCCTTGGAAGCTCGAGGGATTAGGTAGGAAACCGACACATGTGAAGACACATTGAAAAACGCATGGAAAAAACAGCACAGCAACACTGGCGACCTGTCGCCGATACATTGCGACCGGTCGCTGATACCTTATGGACACATTGCGACCGGTCGCTGATACCTTGAGACCGGTCGCTTTCTGCGATTTCTCCAGCCTTCGAATATGTGTAAAAACGACCGGTCGCCCAAACCTTGCTACCGGTCGCTCACTCCTTCACTTGCATACTAAATGTGAGCCATTTTTCCAACACTTTTCACAAAGATAAAAAAACTTAATGGTTAGATACACCCAGTTCAATCTAGAGAAACAGAGCAATGGACACTTGACGTTGTTCCTCCTGTCTTTGCTATTCTTCTTTATTTTGTGCTATAACAGAACCTCTTCACCCTCTTTTGTTGGTAGCGACGATCTACGAAAGAAGAGCAGAGAAACAATTTTCCATCAATGATTTGTAGTGGAATGATTGTGTTAGTTCGTAGAATCACCTTGATATTGTTGCTTCAACCACTTTGAAATGTAAAGTCTGGATTGTACAAACCAATGCATTGGAATAGTAAATTTCATCCAAGAGTGAGTAATATACTACAAAGAGAAGTTTGTTTACATCAGATGCAAGAAGCCTCAACTATCAATTTAATGACAAAGAACTTAGTTGAGGGGAAAAAAACACTTGTTGTTCCAATTAAAATGACCTTATAAGCTCCAAAAGCTCATTCAAGGAATGGTAGGTAGAGCCACCCTTCATACTAACATCTATTTTCTCCTTCAACTCCCTGGCCCTCACCCTCATTCCCTTCCCATCCTCATCCACCATAAGTTTTCTAACAGCTCTCTCTATCTCTCCCCTCTCTAATTCATTCTCCAATTGTATCCCTATTTTCCATACTTGGCTCACATACCTTGCATTCACCGTCTGATCGCTAAAGCACGGCCTGCACAACATCGGAACCCCTTCAGATATACTTTCTAGGGTTGAGTTCCAACCACAATGGCTCCAGAACCCACCCACTGCGTCATGAGACAAAACTTCCATCTGGGGTGCCCATTTCACGATGCAACCTCTTTCTCCAACAGCTTCTAGTAAACCTTGTGGCAGTAGCTCAATCCAATCAGAACCGCAAATTGATCCAGGCCTGATCACCCACAAAAAAGGTTGCCTGCTGATAGTTAATCCCCAAGCCATTTCGGCTAGTTCTTTCTCATTGATGGATGCTAGACTCCCCAAGCTTATATAGATAACTGAGTTATGGGATTGTTTGTCAAGCCAAGCAACACAGCCAGTGTCTTCTTCTAGTAAACTACTGGTGGCTGCTGTTGCAAATTTGTGAAGAGGACCTATGGAGAAGATTGGAACTTGACATTGTTGCTGGATCTGTGCTAGTGATGATTGATCAAGGCAGTCCAGGGTGTTCCAAATGATGGCTGAGGATGTCCTAACATTGTTGGCATTAGTCAATAGTTTCAAATAGTTTTCAAGTGTGTCGAAAATATAGATGGGGAGATCCTTGAACCTGAGGGGATGAAGCTCGGGCACTGAGTTCAGTAACATAGAGTCTGTGAGCCGAGTTATAGTGTTAGTTATAATTTATAAGTAAGAAAAATAACACCATACTCTAAGAAAAATGACCCAGGCATTAGCCTATTTCATTGTTTGCAGAAAGAAACGTAGACAAGAGGAAACAGGGCACATACCTGGGAAGGGAGTGCAACCTTTCGAATGAAGTCGTATAATAGCGTTGCGAGCAATAATATTGGTAGCACATTGCGTGCGTAAGAGTATTCTTGGAATGTTTAGATCATTAGCCACAGATTCAGAGAAGTACATAAATTCATCATAGATGATGCAGGTGATTTTGTTCTGCGGTTCTTGTTCCTTCACTCTATCAGTCAAGCATTGTTCGAAACTCGCTTTGCAATTGGCGTTAATAGCAAACATAATAGCTACTGCACTCCCAGATGAAATCTCATCAGCAGTTAAGCCATCTGGTATTGGAAAGAAGGTGAATTCGGGGTGGTTTGAAGGGTTTGGAGAGTTGAAATGGGTGTGAACAATTGAAATGGAAAAGCCCTTTGAGTGAAGGAAGGTACCCAGCTTAAGCATAGGGTTTATGTGGCCTTGATATGGGCATGGAACTAAGACCAACAGTTGACCATTCTGTGCTTTGTTTTCCATCTCCCTCCCTCCCTCTTCCTCCTGTCTCCCCGATAAGTGCGCACACACACGCACAAAGACACTCAATAGCTTGCGGCTATGTAAGCTTTATATTGCTTGACTGTCTCCTTGAAATTCATTGGGGCTTGAGTATGTAAAATATATAGAGTAGCCGCCCTTCAGTCCTGCAGAGACCATACTAAGCAGATAATATTTAGATAAGCCAATTAATAATAAGTTTGTCTTTTTCCATTTGTTTGGAACATAAGCTTGTAGTTCTCAGCACAGCTGGCTGGTGCATTTCATGAATTATTATTGAAAAGTATATTGGCTGGTTGACGTGCAAGGAAGAACTAACTTGATGTAATAATTCCTACTCATCTTTGTCAAACTTGGCTGCGTCTTCATGGAACAAGTCCTACTCATCCTCTTTCAGAAAACAATGACTAGTTGTTTGTTACATGATACTTGTGGGAGTGATTTTCATCCCACAAGAATATTCGTATGAAGATTCCGTCTTCCTCTTCTCTTCTCTTTCTCCTTGCAAAACAATACGGAGTAAAGGACTACACCTGGGGTTGTTGGCCAATGGCCCTCCGATGCCTAAGTTAGGTCGAGTGTTTGTAAGAAAACAATAGCTAACAAAATGATGGAGATTTCTCTAGGGTGAGAACCGGGTGGCCGGAGCCTTGTGTGAGAGAAAGAGTATGGCGGCTAGGATTTGTGAGAGAGAATTTCTGCAAAGTTTCAGACAGAAGTTTAGACGTACCTCAACCCTTGGTGTAACCATGTATTTATAGGAGTTTTGGAGGCTAGGGTTTCGGAAGAATAATTCCACAGATGTAAAGGTATTATTCTTCCCCAATTTGGAGATATTGATGTAATTAGGGATTCGATTTAAATCAAATCCCTAATTAAGTCAAGAATCAAACAATTCCCAATTAAATCAAATAACTCCCAATTAGGTCAAATAATTCCCAAATTGATTGGCTTAATTATTTGACCAAGGATCTGTGATATTTTGCTTCCACAATACTACTTTTTCCTTATGTTAATAATTTTATTGTCATGATTTCTTATTAAGTTCAAGCAAGAAATTGATGAGCCAGCATCCTCTATTTACTTGGTACGCTGTGTCGTCTTGAATTTTCATTTAATTATACTTTTGATATAATTCTACACCCTAAACCCTATGCTTAATCGTAAATCTTTATAAACGGTGGTCATAGTATCACCATCAACATGAACCAATAAACAGATGATGTTATTTATTTCATAAGGGAAATGCTACATGTGGTTTTTGAAATTTGAAAGAAAGATTTTGACTATTACATGATGTCCATTACTTATTTGTCAGAAAATTGAGTGTCAACTTAGGTGGAAAGAGTGGAATCTTCAACAGGGCAAGGGCTCGTGGACCTTCTTTAAGTAGTAGGGCTTTTCACAAAGATAAAAAACTTAATGGTTAGATTAGATACACCCAGTTCAATCTAAAGAAACAGAGCAATGGACACTTGACGTTGTTCCTCCTGTCTTTGCTATTCTTCTTTATTTTATACTATAACAGAACCTCTTCGCCCTCTTTCGTTGGTATCAACGAAGGAACAGCAGAGAAACAATTTTCCATCAATGATTTGTAGTGGAATGATTGTGTGAGTTCGTAAAATCACCTTGATATTGTTGCTTCAACCACTTTGAAATGTAAAGTCTGGATTGTACAAACAAATGCATTGGCATAGTAAATTTCATCCAAGAGTGAGTAATGTACAACAGAGAAGTTTGTCTACATCAGATGCGAGAAGCCTCAACTATCAATTTAATGATAACGGACTTAGTTGAGGGAAAAAAGAAACACTTGTTGTTCCAATTAAAATGACCTTATAAGCTCCACAAGCTGATTCAAGGAATGGTAGGTAGAGCCACCCTTCATACTGACATCTATTTTCTCCTTCAACTCCCTGGCCCTCACCCTCATTCCCTTCCCATCCTCATCTACCTTAAGTTTTCTAACCCCTCTCTAATTCATTCTCCATTTGTATCCCTATTTTCCGTACTTGACTGACATACCTTGCATGCACCTTCTGATCGCCAAAGCATGGCCTGCATACTTCAGACATACTTTCCAGGGTTGAGTTCCAATCACAATGGCTCCAAAACCCACCCACTGCGCCATGAGCCAAAACTTACATCTGGGGTACCCATTACACAATGCAACCTCTTTCTCAAATAGCTTTTATGAGGAAGTAGCTCAATCAATGTGAGCCATAAATAAGCAGTAAGAGGACTCAGGCATTAGTCTCTTCCCCTCATTTGCAGAGAGATAGATTAATCTTAAGCACTGAAGTTTGCATTTTGTACTGCCATTGTTGCTATAATAGAATATAGAGTGGTCCTCCAGTACTGCAGAGACCACATTAAGCAGATAGGTAAGTCAATTAATAATAAGTCTGCCTTTTTTCCATAAATTGTTTGGGACAGAAGCATGTGGTTCCCAGGACAGCTGGGTGTTGCGTTTCATGAAATAAGTAAACTTTGGATACTCATCCCTAAGATTGAAAAGTATATTGGGTAGTTGTGGGTCGTTTTAGGAGAGGAAACTGATCTTTATCAAACATGGTTGCATCTTCAAGGAATAAGTCCTCTTTCCGTAAACAATTGATGACTCGTAGTCACATGATACTATATGAACAGATAAACAGTCAATCTTTATAAATCAAATGGCGATGGTCATAAGCACAGTAACAACATCTACATGAACAGATAAACAGGTTCCAGATGATCTTATTTATTTCACAAGGGACATGTTTTTGAAAGTGGAAAAAATATTTTGACTCTGACACAATGTACATTACTTACTTATCAGAATACAAAGAGGCCTAGCATTAAACATCTCCCACCAAATACTCTTAAGGATGGCTTAAGGGGAGGGAATGATTGTGTGAATTCGTTCCAGAAAGCACTTATTTGAGAAAAGAGAAAAAAATACTTGTTGTTCCAATTAAAATGACCTTATAAACTCCACAAGCTCATTCAAGGAATGGTAGGTAGAGCCACCCTTCATACTAACTTCTATTTTCTCCTTCAACTCCTTGGCCCTCATCCTCATTCCCTTCCCATCCTCATCCACCATAAGTTTTTTAACAGTTCTCTCTATCTCTCCCCTCTCTAATTCATTCTCCAATTGTATCCCTATTTTCCATACTTCGCTTACATACCTTGCATTCACCTTCTGATCGGTAAAGCACGGCCTGCATAACATCGGAACCCCTTCAGATATACTTTCCAGGGTTGAGTTCCAACCACAATGGCTCCAGAACCCGCCCACTGCGCCATGCGCCAAGACTTCCATCTGGGGTGCCCATTTCACGATGCAACTTCTTTCTCCAACAGCTTCTAGAAAACCTTGAGGCAGGAGCTCGATCCAATGAGAACCGCAAATTGATCCGGGCCTAATCACCCACAAAAAAGGTTGCCCGCTGTTAGTTAATCCCCAAGCCATTTCGGCTAGTTCTTTCTCACTGATGGATGCTAGACTCCCCAAGCTTACATAGATAACTGAGTTATGGGATTGTTTGTCCAGCCACGCAACACAGCTGGTGTCTTCTTCTAGTAAACTACTGGTGGCTGCTGTTGAAACTTTGTGAAGAGGACCTATGGAGAAGATTGGAACTTGACATTGTTGCTGGATCTGTGCTAGTGATGATTGATCAAGGCAGTCCAGGGTGTTCCAAATGATGGCTGAGGATGTCCTAACATTGTTGACATTAGTCAATAGTTTCGAATAGTTTTCAACTGTGTCAAAAATATAGATGGGGAGATCCTTGAACCTGAGGGGATGAAGCTCGGGCACCGAGTTCAGTAACATAGAGTCTGTGATCCCGAGTTATAGTGTTAGTTATAACTTATAAGTAAGAAAAATAAACACGGTACTCTAAGAAAAATGACTCAGGCTTTAGCCTCTTTCCTTGTTTGCAGAAAGAAACGTAGACAAGAGGAAACAGGGCACATACCTGGGAAGGGAGTGCAACCTTTCGAATGAAGTTGTATCATAGCGTTGCGAGCAATAAAATTGGTAGCACTTTGTGTGCGTAAGAGTATTCTTGGAATGTTTAGATCAATAGCCACAGATTCAGAGAAGTACATAAATTCATCATAGATGATGCAGGTGATTTTGTTCTGCGGTTCTTGTTCCGTCACTCTATCAGTCAAGCATTGTTTGAAACTCGCTTTGCAATTGGCATTAATAGCAAACATAATAGCTACAATATTCCCAGATGAAATATCATCAGCAGTTAAGCCATCTGGTATTGGAAAGAAGGTGAATTCGGGGTGGTTTGAAGGGTTTGGAGAGTTGAAATGGGTGTGAACAATTGAAATAGAAAAGCCCTTTGAGTGAAGGAAGGTACCCAGCTTAAGCATAGGGTTTATTGTGCCTTGGTATGGGCATGGAACTAAGACCAACAGTTGACCACTCTGTGCTTTCTTTTCCATCTCCTTCCCTCCCTCTCTGTCTTCTGTCTCACCAATAAGCGCGCACACACGCACAAAGAAAATCAATAGCTTGCGGCCATGTAAGCTTTATATTGCTTGATTGTCTCCTTGAAATTCATTGGGGCTTGAGTATGTAATATACATAGAGTAGCAGCCCGTCAGTCCTGCAGAGACCATACTAAGCAGATAATATTTAGATAAGCCAATTATTATAAGCTTGTAGTTTTCAGCACAGCTGGCTGGTGCAGTTCATGAATTAATATTGAAAAGTATATTGGCTGGTTGTTGTACCTGGTATTAGATGAAGAACTGACTTGATGTAATAATTCCTACCCGTCTTTGTTAAACTTGGCTGCATCTTCTTGGAATAAGTCCAACTCATCCTCTTTCAGAAAACAATGACTAGTTGTTTGTTACATGATACTATTTTTTCTTTATGTCAATAATTTTATTGTCATGATTTCTTATTAAGTTCAAGCGAGAAATTGATGAGCCAGCATCCTCTATTTACTTGGTACGACCTGTCGTCTTGAATTTTCATTTAATTATACGTTTGAAATAATTCTGGGTAAATTGCCGAATACCCCCTTGAACTATCACGCTTGTCGAAATCTCCACCCAGAATTTTTTGCCTGCCAATTTAGCCCTCATACTAAATTTTATAGCCAATTTACACCCCACCGTTAGTTTTTGGAAATTTCCATCCAAATACCCATCAAATATAAGGGTAACTTTGACATTTTACAAGGTATAGTATTAAGAAAAATAAGGAAAATGTAAATAAATAAAAAAATCAAATAGAGAAAGAAAACGTCCCACCAATTTCTTCTCCCCCATTTCCCAACCACCACATACATACCACTCCCCCCTCCTCCCACCCCGCACCTGCAGAAGCCAGAATCCCCTTCCCTACTCGATTTCTTTCTCCCTCATCCCTCACAAATTTCTTCTTCTCCCCCCTCCTCCTACCCCACCACCTGCAAAAACCAGAATCCCCTCTCCCCCCC